TAGACGTTTCGGTTGCTGGTTACCAAACTTAAGTCCGTCCACTTAACAAGTGCACTTAACAAGTGTACTGGCTCCCACAGGCATAAGAGCACTATTGTAAGTGAGCTGGTAAACCATCTCCTCACAACAAGGCTGAATATATATATATATATATATATATATATATATATATATATATATATATATATATATATATATATATATATATATATATATATATATATATATATATATATATATATATATATATATATATATATATATATATATATATATATATAGTATATATATATATATATATATATATATATATATATATATATATATATATATATATATATATATATATATATATATATTATTAAATATGACCGAAAAAGTAAGATTAATAATTCTAACACGAATTTTCTCAATCTTCCGTACATTTCTTTTCACTGTTGGTGGTAATTCAAAAATCAATTCTCCAAAATTCATTTTTATTTCAAGTCTGACGCGACACTTGAGCACGTTTCGTAAAACTTATTACATTTTCAAAGACTTTAGTTACACATACACAACTGAATAGAACTTACACATCTCCGATTTGTTTATATCTACATTTGAGTGAGGTGGATGGGGTGAGGTGGTGTTGAATAGGGTATTAAATTCATCAACACAAGACAGAACACAAAACAATGGGTATTGAATAGAAGTGATTGTAGAAAGCCTATTGGTCCATATTTCTTGATGCTTTTATATTGGAGCGGAGTCTTGAGGTGGGTAGAATATAGTTGTGCATTAATTGGCTGTTGATTGCTGATGTTGACTTCTTAATGTGTAGTGCCTCGCAAACGTCAAGCCGCCTGCTATCGTTGTATCTATCGATGATATCTGTGTTGTTTACTAGGATTTCTCTGGCGATGGTTTGCTTGTGGGAAGAGATTATATGTTCCTTAATGGAGCCCTGTTGCTTATGCATCGTTAAACGCCTAGAAAGAGATGTTGTTGTCTTGCCTATATACTGGGTTTTTTGGAGCTTACAGACAACAGTATATAGGCAAGACAACAACATCTCTTTCTAGGCGTTTAACGATGCATAAGCAACAGGGCTCCATTAAGGAACATATAATCTCTTCCCACAACCAAACCATCGCCAGAGAAATCCTAGTAAACAGCACAGAAATCATCGATAGATACAGCGATAGCAGGCGGCTTTTACGTTTGCGAGGCACTACACATTAAGAAGTCAACACCAGCAATCAACAGCCAATTAACGCATAACTATATTCTACCCACCTCAAGACTCCACTCCAATATAGAAGCATCAAGAAATATGGACCAATAGGCAAAATATACTAATATTAAAACGCAGGACCCAGCAGCAAGGAATCAAGCCTTCACGATAAAATATCGCCAGGATCTGATTCGTGATCAGATATACAAGGCAGAGAATGAAATCAAAGACAACAAAACGCAACTACTTCATGCTACGAACGAGTGGAGAAATAGCAACATCGACGAAAGTATCCGTACCCGCATTGAACAACACCTCGACATCCTCACAGACCGACATCACCTCAGCACTGAAACAAGGATTATCAAGAAACTAACAACGTTATATGGAGGACCTATGGCAATTCCACGACCAAGAGATAGCTTCCTGAACCTTGCAGGGATTAACCTCACTGAGGACCAAGTCACTCTCCTAAATCTGGGCATAAACTGTCACGTTATGTCCAGACCGAGTGAGATGGCCCGGAAAGTGGAGTTGGAAATTCTGTTGGACGACATATTCGACCTCGAGACACAAAAAAAGGTCACTACCAAAGATACCTTACAAGCAGAACTTATTGCGGAAGGAGGAAAGAATCGAGGCAATTACAGAAGCACCATACTGTCCCCCGAGCTCAAAGCGGCAGCTAAAAGCCTTCGTGAGAACAAGGAGATAGTTGTCAGGAGAGGTGACAAGTCGCCAATATACGTCATTCTTAAAAAAGACGAATATCTGGCGAAAATGAACCTCATACTCTCTGACCAAACTAAATTCCAAAGGGTAACGAAGGACACTACAGCCGAATTGAAAGCAAAGGTCAACAAACTGATCGAAACTGTGAATGCCAAGAAATCAGGACTCCACCTGCCAAAGATTATTGGGGAATATAAACCTGGATATGTGTATGGAAATGTCAAGACACACAAGCCTGGAAACCCACTTCGGCCAATCATTAGCCAGATACCCACACCCACGTACAGACTAGCGAAGCGACTCAACGGCCTGCTGACTCCTTATGTCCCTTGCGCCTGCAGCCTGAAGTCTCCAAAGGAATTTGTTGACTTACTGCGGGGCACACGGGCCACAGGAATAAGAGCCTCGTTGGACGTAGAATCGCTGTTCACCAACGTACCTGTGGACGAGACAATCGGGATGATAGCCGACAGAGTGTATCGTGATCCAGCCTGTACTCCTCTTGACATACCAGAAAATATCCTAAGGAAACTACTCCAAGCTTGTACTAAAGAGGCACCCTTCTTGAGCCCGGATGGGCACATGTACAAGCAAGTAGATTGGGTCGCCATGGGTTCTCCCCTAGGTGTCTTCTTTGCAAACTTCTACATGGGTACCATCGAGCAAAAAGTCTTAGTCGACATGAACTTGAAACCGGCCATATACTGCAGGTATGTTGACGACATTTTTACACAGGTACCTGATGTCAGACATCTGCAGGTGCTGAAGGAGGCATTTGAGCGGAGTTCCGTGCTGCGTTTCACTTACGAGATGAAAAAGAATGGGAAGCTGCCCTTTCTAGATGTAACAGTCATGGAAAAGAACGGAGGTTTCCACACTGCAGTCTACACTAAGGAAACGAACATAGGAATGTGCCTAAATGCCAGAAGCGACTGCCCAGATAGGTACAAGAGGAGTGTTGTTAACGCATATTTCGACCGTGCTCTCAGCCACAGCTCAGAATGGAAGCAAGTCGACGAAGAACTCTGTAGGGTAAGGCAGGTCCTAGCCAACAACGGCTTCTCCAATGGTTTCGTCGAAGACATCATAAAAAGGAAAGTGAAACGCCATGCAACCTCTGAAGAGACAACTAACACAACACCTGTACCCCCTATTAGACTATTTTACAGGAACTTCTTTTCCACAGCTCATAAAACGGAGGAAGGGTCCTGAAAGATATTGTTAATAGAAACGTTATCCCTACAGACAAAACTCAGAGGATACAACTGACGATTTACTATAAAACCAGAAAAACGGCCAGCCTACTCATGAGAAACTCTCCAGACACAAAGCAGATCGCTTTAAAAGAGACCAACGTCGTCTATGCCTTCAAATGCCCTCTTGGGGACTGTAAGCTCCAAAAAAAAACAGTATATAGGCAAGACAACAACATCTCTTTCTAGGCGTTTAACGATGCATAAGCAACAGGGCTCCATTAAGGAACATATAATCTCTTCCCACAACCAATCCATCGCCAGAGAAATCCTAGTAAACAACACAGAAATCATCGATAGATACAGCGATAGCAGGCGGCTTGACGTTTGCGAGGCACTACACATTAAGAAGTCAACACCAGCAATCAACAGCCAATTAATGCACAACTATATTCTACCCACCTCAAGACTCCACTCCAATATAGAAGCATCAAGAAATATGGACCAATAGGCTTTCTACAATCACTTCTATTCAATACCCATTGTTTCATGTTCTGTCTTGTGTTGATGAATTTAATACCCTATTAAATACCACCTCACCCCATCCACCTCACTCAAATGTAGATATAAACAAATCGGAGATGTGTAAGTTCTATTCAGTTGTGTATGTGTAACTAAAGTCTTTGAAAATGTAATAAGTTTTACGAAACGCACTCAAGTGTCGCGTCAGACTAGAAATAAAAATGACTTTTGGAGAATTGATTTTTGAATTACCTCCAACAGTGAAAAGAAATGTACGGAAGATTGAGAAAATTCGTGTTAGAATTATTAATCTTACTTTTTCGGTCATATTTAATAATATATGTCTACAGGAAAGACTGCTACCAAAATATACTAATATATGACTGAAAACTCACACCCCAGAAGTGACTCGAACCCATACTCCCAGGAGCAACGCAACTGGTAACTACAGGGCGCCTTAATCCGCTTGACCATCACGGAGTTTAAAGTCGCATATAGTCCTGGGGACCATTCAGGCTTGTTTGCATTTGTGTTCCTCACGTGTGCCCCAAAGAATGAGGTGATTTGGTGAAATGCTATGCCCAAGATTACCATCCGAGATGCCGGCGGGGAAGTGGTTCAAATAGCCTTGGCTATCACTTCCTTTTGTCCGGCCGTGATGGTCAAGCGGATTAAGGCGCCCTGTAGTTACCAGTTGCGTTGCTCCTGGGAGTATGGGTTCGAGTCACTTCTGGGGTGTGAGTTTTCAGTCGCATATAGTCCTGGGGACCATTCAGGCTTGTTCGCATTTGTGTTCCTCACATGTGCCCCAAAGAATGAGGTGATTTGGTGAAATGCTATGCCCACGATTACCATCCGAGTTGCCGGCGGGGAAGTGGTTCAAATAGCCTTGGCTATCACTTCCTTTTGTCCGGCAGTGATGGTCAAGCGGATTAAGGCGCCCTGTAGTTACCAGTTGCGTTGCTCCTGGGAGTATGGGTTCGAGTCACTTCTGGGGTGTGAGTTTTCAGTCGCATATAGTCCTGGGGACCATTCAGGCTTGTTCGCATTTGTGTTCCTCACGTGTGCCCCAAAGAATGAGGTGATTTGGTGAAATGCTATGCCCAAGATTACCATCCGAGTTGCCGGCGGGGAAGTGGTTCAAATAGCCTTGGCTATCACTTCCTTTTGTCTGGCCGTGATGGTCAAGCGGATTCAGGCGCCCTGTAGTTACCAGTTGCGTTGCTCCTGGGAGTATGGGTTCGAGTCACTTCTGGGGTGTGAGTTTTCAGTCGCATATAGTCCTGGGGACCATTCAGGCTTGTTTGCATACTAATATATATATATATAATATTTTGTTATTTGCTTCCCTGCCTTTCATACAGACCGGTGCCTTGGAGGGTCAACACTTCCGTAAGACTGGCAAACTGGTGAGTCTCTCGGAGCAGCAGCTGGTCGAATGCTCCGGTGGCACTTATAAAAACCTGGGGTGTCGCGGTGGACTAATGACTAGTGCCTTCAACTACATCAAGGCCACTGGAGCTGACAGTGGGGTATTCTACCCCTACGTGGCAGTGGTAAGTGGGCCTCATCAAGGCAGCGCCATCATAGCAGGAAACTGACAATTTCTTGTTTATAATTAATAGAACTCTTTTGTCTTACGTTTAACATTATTTACATATATACTGTGTAGGACAGGATATAATAATTTTGTTTCTTATTTTATGCAGGAAGGGCCTTGCAAATTCTCAGCCAAGAACATCGCTGCCACATTAACTGGCTTCGCCTCAGTAACTTCTAAAAGCGAGAGCGCTCTACAGACGGCCGCTGGGACCATAGGCCCCATCTCTGTGGCCATCGATGCATCCCACAGTTCCTTCCAGTTCTACAAGAGCGGTGAGCTCACACTTCTACATACGCAAATGGGAGGGAGGGTCCATCGAAAAAACTGAGTGCAAGAGAGGTAGCAAAAGAAGACTTAATTGACTAGTCTCAAGGATTTGATGAAACATAGGAGTTTCCCATGCATACTAAAAGAAACACATACTCCCACATGCACTTTCCTTGTCTCCACCCCCCTCCCCCCCCCCACACATATATCCTCCACATCTTTACCATATATCCTTCCAGTCTCCCGCATATATGTTCTTCCAGTCTCCAACCACACACACGGTCCTATTCTCCACTCACACTCACCCTCTTTATTATTGAACACATTTTCCCCCTGTCGCCCTTCATCGCTGTAACTATTTTCACAACATACTGGCAAACATCATCAGAAAACATCATCATCACAGTGAATATCTTCATATGATACACATCTCCACACACACGCTCCCTGTCTCCCTCCACAAAAACTCTCCTCATAACCCCATATCACTGTAACCATTTTCACTATACACTATCTACATCTCTATAATCGAAAAGTTTTGCCCAGAACACAAATCTGTTATCTAAGTATTCGTTTTGAATGTCAATGTATAAATTTATATAAATAAAAATGGAAATATTCGTTTGTTCAAAATCGCTAATCTCCGAACGTTCTTCAACGATTGCCTTGAAATTTTTACACAATGTTCCATTTGCATCCGAGCGGGTTTTTATATACATACTATATTGAGGTCACCTCTATGACGGAAAAAACATTTTTTTTAACTGTGTTTTTCATGTGTTTTTCATGTGAGAGAAATCTTCGAAACCTTTTTACCGATTGCTTTGAAATTTTGACACGACGATGCATTCGAATAGGCACGTGTTTTTATATACCTACTATATTCATTCTTCACCTGTGACAGGAGAAAACATTTTTTTTTATTTAAACAGTGCCATCTGTTGGACGTAAGAGCAACACACGCTGTAATATCCCAAAGTTCTTCACTCATTGCACTGATTTGACTCAACGTTCTATTCGAATATGTGCGTGTTTTTATATGCCTACTATATAGATGTCACTCCTGTGACAGGTAAAAACTTAGTTTTTTTTTCAAAAACAGCGCCATCTGTTGCACGTAATAGCAACACACACGCTATACTTAATATGTTACAAATTCCATTTCAATGTTTCCAATTTCATTGATAAATTGAATTTTCATACATTTCTATTTATTTTCATTTTGATTTAATTATTTTGTGTGACATTGCATTGGAATTGAGCTGTGTTGTTTACCATACCGTTCATTTCGTGAGAATGGCTCATTTTTGTAATTTTTGTATTTTTTCATTTCGTTTTTTGAACTGTTTTTCTTATATTTCAGTGATGGGAACATCTGGGGCCAGATTCACGAAGCAGTTACACAAGTACTCACGAACGTGTACATCTTTCCTCTATTTTTGAAGGCGTTTGTTACATTTATTAAACAGTTAACAAGCGTGAAAACTTGCCAATTAACTGTTTTTATTGTTACAATCAGCCACCTGGTGCTTCGGAGCTCATTAATTGTATAATAATTGTAAGCAAATCCGCCAAAGACTGAAAAAAGATGTACAGGTTCGTAAGTGTTTGTGTAACTTCTTCATGAATCTAGCCCCAGAGTATTTGATGTTCCCAATTTTCTGATGTGAACATCAGAACATTTGATCATCAGATGGGGAGTGGGGAATGGTGGGAAGGACGAGGGGACGGAGAAGGGGGGGGGGGTGGTGGGGGAGGACTGGGAGACAGGGAAAGGTTGCTGTGGCTCAGCAACGCGTGGCCAGGTACTGCTAGTACACAAATATATAAATTGACACTAAACTCTACGGACTATTCATAAAACATTTCATATCCATTAATCTCGGTGAGTGTGAAGGATAATTTCCCTTCGTAGGTGACATAAGGGCTGACCCTGACCCTCTGAGACTCGCTGTAAGGTCACTAACCACAGTACAGTCTTGCATGAGGCGGACCTCAAGCATCTGCCTTCCAATCTTTGACGAACAAACAGATATTCTGATTTATTGATATAGATATTCTTCATGACGTAAACGAAAGGGTTTTGCACTTACCGATTAAAGTCATTTTCCTACACAAGATGTTAAGCTAATGAGACCAGAGTTCAACACAAGGGATTTGTCTCCCATCTTAACATCTGGCATCATATTTGCTACTCAATATAGTCTGCTCAATTCTAATGATTTATGAAATATGCTCGACAAGGGATGCTAGGGAGCCGGTGGCTGAGCGAACAGAGCACTGGACACGTGATCCTGTGGTCCCGGGTTCGATCCCGGGCGCCAGTGAGAAACAATGGCAGATTTTCTTTCACCCTGATGCTCCTGTTACCTAGCAGTAAATAGGTACCTGGAAGTTAGTCAGCTGTCACAGGCTGCTTCCTGGGGGTGGAGGCCTGGTCAAGGACCGGACCGCGGAGACACTAAGCCCCGAAATCATCTCAAGATAAGATAGACAAGGGCTCTGTAAATGCCTGTATTTACTATTTTAGCACCCTAGCAAATATTCGATTGACCACTATCTTGAGAGGATTTCGGGGCTTACCATCCCCGTGGCTCGGGCCTCGACCAGGCCTCCATTTTGTTAAACATCCCCAGGAAGCAGACCATAGCAGCTGTTTAACTCCCTGGTATCTATTAATTGCTAGGTGAACAGGCGCATCAGGGTGAAAGAAACTCTGCTCATTTGTTTCCGCCTCTGCCGGAGATCGAATCCGGAAACGTACAACTATGAATCCCAAACGCTGTCCACTCAGCCGTCAGGCCACCCCCTCCCTTGGCCCTGGGGACTTTGCGAGCATAACGTTTTCTATTTATTTGATGATACCCTTGCTGGTAAACATTATACTAGTCATCGTGTAAACTCTAAAACCAATATAAATATGTTAAGCTGCTTGCACATTGTCAAGTTCTTCCAAATTGAACAGAAATAACTTATTTAAAAAAAAAATAATTTTTGTCACTACTCAGATGTGTTTCACTTTTCAATTCTGGTTGAGTCGTATTCCTAATCTCTGTTTGATGCACCTAAGAAAACATTGTCTAAATTTCTAATTTATTTATTATATATTAAAACAATTATTGGAGAATTTGCACCAAACGGTAACCTTGGAATACAAATGTGTACAACATGGGCTTGAGATATTAATGTGTGCGTCTTGTATTTCAGGTGTGTACTATGAGCCGGCGTGCTCGTCGACCAGCCTTAACCACGGCGTACTGGTAGTGGGTTATGGCACTAGCCCCGCAGGAGACTACTGGAGCGTTAAGAACTCTTGGGGCACCGGGTGGGGTGAGGGTGGGTACATAAAGATGGCTCGTAATAAGAACAACAACTGTGGTATTGCCACTGCTGCTTCCTACCCAACTGTGTAGTTACTGTAGAACCACTACTGAAGAACTGTTTATTCCTATGACATGAGGGACAAAACTTTAAAATGATCCTGCTTTTGAAATTTCATTCTGTTTTGAAATAAAGAATTTGCAATGTATTTTTAATTTATTTTCCTAAGAAGGTTTTAGTAATTGAAAGTTACAAATTTTCAGTCTAATATGTAATGAATTGGATATACGATTAACGCCCTACAAGCATAAAAAATGTATTTATTTCCAATAGACGTAGCTCTCCACACACTGAATAGAGCTATGTACAATATACATAAAGCTCCTGAATGGGGCAGAAATGTTTACTATAAACAATGAGCAAATACTTGGTTTATCTAGGTCCTAGTCAATTGTTTACACACACACACACACACACACACACACACACACACACACACACACACACACAGTGTGAGAAGAGCAGCTGAGAAAAGGTATGAAAATGATATAGCTAATAAAGCCAAGACCGAACCAAAGCTACTACACAGTCACATCAGGAGGAAGACAACAGTGAAGGAACAGGTGGTGAAACTTAGGGTGGGCGAGGACAGGTACACAGAGAATGACAAAGAGGTGTGTGAAGAACTCAACAAAGTGTTCCAGGAGGTCTTTACAATAGAACAGGCAGATTTCACGGTGCTAGAAGAGGTGGCAGCAAACCAGGTGACCTTGGATAGGTTCGAAATTACAAGAGATGAGGTCAAGAAGCACTTATTGGAGCTGGATGTGAGAAAAGCTGTTGGGCCGGATAGAATCTCGCCATGGGTATTGAAAGAGTTTGCAGGAGCACTTTGCTTACCACTCTCCATAGTGTATAGTAGGTCACTGGAAACGGGGACCTACCAGAAATATGGAAGACTGCTAATGTAGTACCAATATACAAAAAGGGTGACAGACAAAAGGCACTGAACTACAAGCCAGTGTCCTTAAATTGTATACCATGCAAGGTGATGGAGAAGATTGTGAGAAAAATCCTAGTAACACATCTGGAGAGAAGAGACTTCGTGACAACCCATCAACATGGGTTCAGGGAGGGTAAATCTTGCCTTACAGGCTTGATAGAATTCTATGATCAGGTGACAGAAATTAAACAAGAAAGAGAAGGGTGGGCGGACTGAATTTTTTTGGACTGTCGGAAAGCCTTTGACACAGTACCCCATAAAAGGTTGATGCATAAGCTGGAGAAACAGGCAGGAGTAACTGGTAGGGCGCTCCAGTGGATAAGGGAGTACCTAAACAATAGGAAGCAGAGAGTTACAGTGAGGGGTGAGACCTCAGACTGGCGTGAAGTCACCAGTGGAGTCCCACAGGGCTCTGTACTTGGACCTATCCTGTTTCTGATATATGTAAATGATCTCCCAGAGGGTATAGACTCATTCCTTTCAATGTTTGCTGACGACGCCAAAATTATGAGAAGGATTAAGACAGAGGAGGACAGCTTGAGGCTTCAAGAAGACCTGGACAAGCTGCAGGAATGGTCGAACAAACGGCTGTTAGAGTTTAACCCAAGCAAATGTAATGTAATGAAGATAGGGGAAGGAAGGAGGAGACCAGATACAAGGTACCATGTGGGAGATGAAATACTTCAAGAGTCAGAGAGAGAGAAAGACCTGGGGATTGATATCATGCCAGACCTGTCCCCTGAAGCTCATATCAAGAGGATAACATCAGCAGCATATGCCAGGTTAGCTAACATAAGAACGGCCTTTAGAAACTTGTGTAAGGAATATTTCAGAACATTATATACCACATATGTCAGACCAAGCCTGAAATATGCGGCTCCAGCATAGAGTCCATATCTAGTTAAGCATAAGACTAAAATGGAAAAGGTTCAAAGGTTTGCCACCAGACTAGTACCCGAGCTGAGAGGTATGAGCTACGAGGAGAGACTACGGGAATTAAACCTCACTTCGTTGCAAGACAGAAGAGTTAGGGGCGACATGAACACCACATTCAAGATTCTCAAGGGAATCGACAGGGGTTGATAAAGACAGGCTACAGGGGCACACTCACTAGGGAACACAGGTGGAAACTAAGTGCCCAAATGAGCCACAGAGATATTAGAAAGAACATTTTTAGTGTCAGAGTGATTGAGAAATCGAATGCATTAGGAAGTAATGTGGTTGAGGCTGACTCCATACACAGTTTCAAGTGTAGATATGATATGGCCCATTAGGCTCAGGAACCTGTACACCTGTAGATTGATGGTTGAGAGGCGAGACCAAAGAGCTAGAGCTCAACCCCCGCAAGCACAACTAGGCGAGTACACACACACACACACACACACACACACACACACACACACACACACACACACACACACACACACACACACACACACACACACACACACACACACACACACACACACACACACACACACACACACACACACACACACACACACACACACACACACACACACACACACACACTCACACACACACAATGTAATGTAATGAAGATAGGTGTAGGGAGCAGGAGGCCAGATACAAGGTATCATCTGGGAGAGGAAATTCATCAGGAGTCAGAGAAGGAAAAAGACTTGGGGGGTTGATATCACACCAGACCTGTCTCCTGCAGCACATATCAAGCAGATAACATCAGCGGTATATGCTAGGCTGGCCAACATACGAACGGCATTCAGAAACTTGTGTAAAGAATCATTCAGAACTTTGTATACCACATATGTCAGGCCAATCCTGGAGTATGCAGCCCCAGCATGGAGTCCATATCTAGTCAAGGATAAGACTAAACTGGAAAAGGTTCAAAGGTTTGCCACCAGACTAGTACCCGAGCTGAGAGGCATGAGCTACGAGGAGAGACTACGGGAATTAAACCTCACTTTGCTGGAAGACAGAAGAGTTAGGGGGTACGTGATCACCACATTCAAGATTCTGAAGGGAATTGATAGGGTAGATAAAGACAGTCTTTAACACAAGGGGTACACGCACAAGGGGACACAGGTGGAAACTGAGTGCCCAAATGAGTCACAGAGATATTAGAAAGAACTTTTTTAGTGCCAGAGTGGTTGACAAATGGAATGCATTAGGAAGTGATGTGGTGGAGGCTGACTCCATACACAGTTTCAAATGTAGATATGATAGAGCCCAATAGGCTCAGGAATCTGTACACCTGTTGATTGACGGTTGAGAGGCTGGACCAAAGAGCCAGAGCTCAACCCCCGCAAACACAACTAGGTGAGTACACACACACACACACATTGGGAGAACAAGGAACCGCATGGAGGCGAGGATACGTGGAGAGCCAAACTACTGGAGGTGGTGACTAGAAACTTCTTAACCCAGCATGTCAGAGAACCCACAAGGATGAGAGGAAATGACGAACCAGCAAGACTCGACCTGGGCTTCACTCTGAACGACTCCGACATAAGAGAAATCGGTTTTGAGGACCCAGTAGGAATGAGCGACCACAGTGTACTGGTGTTTGAGTACCTGATTGAAGAAGGGTTATTGAACTCGAGGAGGGATACCGAAACCAAAAGGTTAGCATCCCGAAAGGGAAACTATGAGGAGATAAGAAAATTCCTAACAGATATAGCATGGGAAACAGAGCTCAGGGAAAAGACGGCCCAAGATATGATGGACTACATCACGCAAAAATGCAAAGATGCAGCAAACAAGTTTGTCCCAGCCCAAAAGGAAAACAGTGAAATGAAGATGAGAAACCCATGGTTTAATCAAAGATGTATGCTAGCTAAGCAGCAAAGTAAAAGAGCATGGAGAAACTATAGGAATAACAGGACACTGGAGAGCAGAGAAAGATACCAGAATGCCAGGAATGAATGTGTCAGGATGAGAAGAGAGGCAGAAAGACCATACGAAACTGACATCGCAAGCAAGGCAAAGACTCAGCCTAAATTGCTGCATAGCCACATCAGGAGAAAAACAACAGTAAAGGAACAGGTTATGAAATTAAGGATAGGGGCGGAAGGATTCACTACAAACGACAAGGAAGTGTGTGAGGAACTGAATAAGAAATTCCAAGAGGTCTTCACCTTAGAGCAAGGAGAAATCCCAGAGATAAGAGAGGGAATAGCTAACCAGGAACCACTGGAAGATTTTGAGATTACCAGTGGGGAAGTAAGGAAGTGTTTACTAGAGTTGGATGTGACAATGGCTATAGGCCCAGATGGAATCTCCCCTTGGATACTAAAGGAAGGAGCAGAAGAACTGTGCCTCCCACTCTCCATAGTGTATAACAAATCACTGGCAACAGGGGACCTGCCAGAAATTTGGAAAGCAGCTAACGTAGTCCCGATATACAGGAAAGGGGATAGACAGGAGGCACTGAATTACAGGCCAGTGTCCCTAACCTGCATACCATGCAAGCTGATGGAGAAGATTGTGCGAAAAAAGCTAGTGGAGCACCTGGAGCGAAAGAACTTTGTAACACAGCATCAACATGGATTCAGGGATGACAGGTCCTGCCTCACAGGGTTACTTGAATTCTACGACCAGGCAACAAAAATAAGGCAAGAAAGAGAAGGGTGGGCAGATTGCATATTTTTGGATTGTCAGAAAGCCTTTGATACAGTGCCACACAAGAGGCTAGTGAAAAAGCTGGAGATGCAGGCTGGAGTGAAAGGGAAGGTACTCTGTTTGATACAGGTGTACCTAAGCAACAGGAGACAACGAGTCAGTGTGAGGGGTGAGGTCTCAGATTGGCGAGACGTTACGAGTGGAGTCCCGCAGGGGTCAGTCCTTGGACCTATACTGTTTCTGATATATGTAAATGATCTCCCAGAGGGTATAGAATCGTTTCTCTCAATGTTTGCCGATGATGCAAAAATTATGAGGAGGATTGAAACTGAGGACGATAGTAGGAGGCTACAAGATGACCTCGACAGACTGAGTGAATGGTCCAACAAATGGCTGTTGAAGTTCAACCCGAGTAAATGCAAAGTAATGAAACTAGCAGTGGAAATAGGAGGCCAGACACAGGACACAGAATAGGAGGTGAAGTACTTA